ATATAGTGTTAGAGCGTATTATTATATTTATTTACCCTCTTTTTATGAAAACCATACCTATTTGTCTTGAACACAAATCGAGATAATTGATAGTGAAGGAGGTTGGGGTCGTCTGATGTCAGAGGTAACATTAGCGAGGAAATAACCGGTGAAGTTTGTTAATTTCCTAGGCCGTAGTGTCCTTCGAAACAACACATTTACCTTATTTGTGCATTGATCAACGTTGCTTTCAGTAAAATCTACGCTGAGATAGCTTTTTTTTTAAAATTGATATATATACAAGGTGTTGAGACTAAAACAAAATAAGATTGATATAAATTGCCCAAAGGCCGGTAAAATTTCGGTTTCTTCGATTTCAGTATATTGACGAATTCTTCATTTCACCATGATGCCACACATATCTTGCAGTGAAAGGAACGAATTGTTTTTGCTATGCGTTTATAGTATGAATAATATTATTATTCAAAGACCTCTGGGAAAAACGGCAATCATCACCGGCAAAAATATTGCAAACTATTTACTTTCTTCCACTCATCCCAATGAATTAACGTCTTTCTTTCCTTGTGCGATCATCTTAAATAATATGTATTTAGCAACGTCCCTCTCTGAATTATTAATGGTATTCATGAACATAGTAAAATTATCCCAAAAGTAGATAAAAAGAGACTAAAATCAAAACTGAAAAATTACGAACGTTGCCATTTCCGCATGTACGTTTTGTATTTTAGGGGGGGGGGGAGGACGTGTATAGAGTGGAGGAGATGGGGAGAATTTGCCACATTAAAGCTGGACAACAGTGTGGTGAATCAGCTAGAAGTTTTTAAGTCAATAAAAGCACATCAATTGGTTTACACTGCAAAGTTCAATGAAATGATAAAATTTGGTTGACAAACAAGTCCTAGCAAGCTAAAAGCAAATTATGACCAGTGCCATAACCCCTTACACTATTGCTTTCACAGTCTTAAACTTTAATCACAGGTTACCTTAGTTAGTAGTACCACCAAAGACCGTATATACTCGGTCTTTGGTATCACGACGGACTGTGGCGTGTATGACCGAGGCTCAAATCCCTACCTGCTGTCTTAGATCTCTGCTTTTTAGAGAATTACGCGTCACTCTTAAGTTGTGATCGAAATCCCCTCGTCCATTTGTCCATTTTAAGCCAAAATTACCATTGCCATTAGAAAAGGTACTTTCCATTTCTACAACTGTCATTTTTGGAAAGTAATTTCAAACGTGTTAGTGTGTAAATAACATTCGTGCTTATTTCGTCTTTATGAATTTCTCTACGTGTGTTGCACGCTGTAAAATCAAGCGGTCGTCATCTATCTATCTATCTATATTTACACTTTTGCATATGATTAATATTTAAAACATTGCACTCGTTTGTTCCAGTTGGTGCCTTGTTATACAACGCTGCATTCAAACCCACTACAGACAACTGCTTTTACTGAACTTTAGAAATATCTTTTCACCAACTTGAGTGTCCCATATCAGAGATAGAGTAGGAAATCAGAACTTTTGACAGTAAAATAGCTTCATCATAATAATTTGAGCATAATTTAATCCAACAATGTTACACATGCTACACATTATTTTAGCAAATCGATTGCGAAAAAACAATATTGTTATGGCATTTTTAGATTGACTTGGAAGCTATTCAGGTTTGTCTACTTTAAATGTCTTGATGGCTTCCTGTTTTCGCACTCAGATTGCCTGGGTTAGTATCTCGGTGAACTACGCTTTGAATGACACTGGTTCAGTTATCTGATAGGGCATTCTTGAACTTTTAAAACTGTGGGGAGTTTTCCGAAAATGTCCATGAATTTGGTTACATATTTTCTGCGTGACATTTTACATTTGAAGGTGTCGCTCCTGAGTAAGCCAGTGGATTTATCGTCCCTTCCTTTCAACACTGGGAAATAATAATAA